GGGGGGACGGGGGGAGGGGGAGAGGTGAACAACAGTGAGAAAGAGAAAAGGGGAAACACAGACTGAGAGAATGTGAGGGAGCACTCAGGAAAGGTGAAGCCAGGATAAGCAGGAAGAGAATGGACAGGAGAAGAGAGAGGGGCCATGAAAGGGGTTGTGAGGAGAAAGAGAAAGGCCGAGTTCTTACTTCTGCTTACATATAAATGGAATTATGAGGGGGAGAGGTGAACAACAGTGAGAAAGAGAAAAGGGGAAACACAGACTGAGAGAATGTGAGGGAGCACTCAGGAAAGGTGAAGCCAGGATAAGCAGGAAGAGAATGGACAGGAGAAGAGAGAGGGGCCATGAAAGGGGTTGTGAGGAGAAAGAGAAAGGCCGAGTTCTTACTTCTGCTTACATATAAATGGAATTATGCTGAGAAACATTCTGAGCTCAAAACCGGAAAATTCAGGAAGTGTAAATCAAATAATTGAAAATCCACTGCTTCCCTCCAAAGTCACTCAACAAGGTTCTGAGTCTAACTGTCCAAATCAAGCAAGAGGAAGAATCACCAGACACAAAGGCAGAGTTGAGGAGCGCCTTACAAAATAACTTTAATAAATTAACAGCAAAAAAAAGGAAAAAGAAATGCGATCATTTTCCTATGCTGAAACTTCCTTTACTTTGTTAGAAAATAGGCTGTAAGAAATTCCCTATATAGTAACAATTTCCCCTAAAACTTTTTAGTAGAAAGGGCTCGCTCACTAAGCAAAAGATTTTGGATGCAATATAAAATTAAAATTGTGTATTCTAATCATATTTGTTAAAACAGGCAAATCTAATCCATGAAGTTAAAAAGGTAAGGAGGTATGTAAGAAGAAACTAGACGAGACCAGAGGGGATTTCAAGAGTTCACATTACACAGGTGCATTCAGCTTGTAAAAACTCATTGCCGTGAGAATGGTACATTTTTCTATGCATCTTAGAATTGAGAAAAATATTTCTGAAGTCTTACCCATAAGAGAAAGCATCATTATCTCTCCATTTTGAAATAACAGAAGCTGCCAATCCAGCCAAAATGGCAGTACTATCAAAAAACATGTGGAAAGAGTCGGAGATCAAGCCTAGGCTGAAAAAGAACAAACACAATGGTGTATTACAATACTAAGTGAGAAGTAAAGCCGCCTTCTCTACAGCCTAAGGTTCAGCTTCTGTTCATCAGGAGTTACCTTCTAAAACAGCATTTACATACGACACTGAGAGAGGTATCAAGGCCAACTCTGAAATACCTAAAAAGGAAATTTTTGCACGCTACATACAAGGAAAAGCCCAACACTATTTAGGAGTGAAACAAAAACCACATGCTGCTGGGTCAGAGGTAAGAATCACTCGGCTCCTGATCATAGGAAAAAGTCAACTGCTGTTAGGAGAAGAATCCCAAACACAAAACAAATACAGACAAAAACCCATGGCTACTGGGGGAGAAACTCTTTCTAAAGCAAAGCAAAAGTCTGTTATTATTGATACCCAGTTATACTGGGAGGACAGGATGGGGGAGGGGAGGAGATGCACCAGCATGAAAGCTTCCTGAGACATGAGCTACATCTCACCCTGGGATGCCCTCTTTGTTATGATGCTACCATTATTATTATTATTTTGGCCTATTTGAGACAGGGTCTCCCTGTGGTCCCAGCTGACCTGGAACTCACTATGTAGACCAGGCTGGCCTCAAACTCACAGAGATCTACCTGCCTCTGCCTCCCAAGTGCTGGGATTAAAGGCGTGCACCACCATGCCCGGCTATGATGCTGCCCTTATACCAGATGCCAAAACCTTCATATTGGGCCTCCCATCCTCCAGAACTGTGATTTAAACAAACCTCTAGTCTTCATCTTTAAAATAAATAAATAAATAAATAACAACCAGCCAGGCATGGTGGAGTATGCCTTTAATCCAACACTTGGCACGCAGAGGTAGGTGGATCACTGTGAGATCAAGGCCAGCCTCATCTATACAGTCAATGTTCCGGGCCAGCTGTGGCTAGAGGGAGACCCTGTCTCAAAAACAAACAACAAAGAAAAAACCAAACCACCCTGACACTCTGGTGTAGCAGGACTATAAGCTGTAGTTAGAGAATTCAGCACTGTATCTTCATCACACCTTGGATAAAATACATGCCAACATGCCAATCTAGCAAGAGCACAGAACACTGAGCTGTGGTGTTGGTGTGCAGAATCTCAAGCTGAGAACAGAGCAAGAATCCTGAAAAAACCGTCTGGTACTCCAAATGCTATACTAAGCACAAAGCAGCAGCAGTCACTCAAAAATCTGAAGTCTGTCACTTAACTGAAATTAGCTAGCAAAAACAAGTTCCCTAACTCAAACCTCAGTGCTCAATTATTGAGCAGACAGGTTTCAAAAGCTCCACCATATTAACAGAAAAGGTGGGTCAATTTTTGGTTCTACTAGCTATAAATTCCAATACTCAATAAATGCTGTAAGACATAAAGCAATAACTAAATATCAAATACTTAGCAGGACAAGCTGAAGCAAGAGGGGAACTAGGCCTCACTGTCAAGAACTAAAGCCGCAGATGCAGAAACAGCCTAGACGGTGGAGCTGTCAGAGAGGACTTTGAACAAATGAGGAACTGCCATGGAGAGTTTATGTTAAAGAATCAAATGAAGCAGAGAACCACCCAAAATTGATCAAAGAAAGCTGATCAAAATCCAGGGTGTGTCGCGAGCCGGGACTCTGTCCAGCAGAGTCCAGGAAAGACGACACAGACACCAAGGTGAGGTTCAAGCTTCTGTTTCTCTTTCTCCTTTATTCTCTCGTATTCTCTTCACTATGATGCTGGCTCACTATGATGCTGGCTCACTATGATGCTGGCTCACTATGATGCTGGCTCACTATGATGCTGGTCCCTTATGATGCTGTGTCCTATGATGCTGTGTCCTCACTATTACACACTTCAGCTCTTTATATAGCGTTTCCAACAGCCCTCCCCCCAGCCGGTATCAATCAGGGCTCACACACGTGCAGCGGCCAGGCAGAATCTAGCTCATAGGCATGTAGCAAGATCACCAGGCTGGCAGCACCTGTTTGGCCTCTCCATACTTTGGAGTAAGCAAGCGGGAATCACGAGCCTTGGCAATCAGCCAAGAGTTGGAGTAAACAGCACGAGGTTTGGCACCCAGCCAGGGCCCCATCTGGCTGACTCAGCTGTGCTCGCT